GATCATAAAAGTTTTCTAGGTGAAAAACGTTAAGAAATAAAAATAAGCAAAAGTGAATTGATATGAGACAAACAAACAACAAACAAAGTGAGACATCATTATTATTTATAAATGTAGAACAAAGTACTATATCATATGATTTTACATCATTAAAATGATCTCTTCATGACATTGGACATGAAGCCTGATCCAAAAGCATCAATTTAAATGAGATCAGTGTTAGAAAATAATTCGATTTATACCCGTGAATCTCAGTCAACAAAGTTGTTATGTCGTTTATTTTCAAATTTATCTGCGACTGAATTGCTGTGAATCGACACCATCGTTCAACATTGTGTATATCATGGAAACTGGTGGCTAATTCTTTAAACTACCTTGCAGCACTAAATAGTGCAAACTTAGGTTTTTCATTTAAATTAAGTTACTTCTGTCTACCATTATTCCTTGAATATTCTCTTAGGTTAACTAGTTCTATGAAAATTTTTCTGGTTTAATGCGTTTAAATTATAAACAGTCTTATCAATCATACTGTCTTTGTCCAGAGACTGGAGAGAATGTTTTCATCGATAATGGTGTGTAATTATTTATATACGTGAATTTACTAGTTTATTCTAATTTTGTTAACTTTTTAAAAGTAGTTTCTTGAAGCTTTACTGAAGCTTTTTAAAGGTGATTGTAATTCACTGTAAGAAAAATATGTGGAAATCTATCGATAAAAATGATTAGTAACAATACGCAACTAACCGATGGCGCACTCATTTGGTGTGGAATTTAAACTAATGATAAATTAACTGAATCACTATGTCGAACACTGTTGGCAAACTAGCTGTTTTAAATCTTTTGGAAGCTACAGGAATAATGAATATCGACGACCGTAAAGTAATAATGTGTTCTTTTTATCCCTTCACTCTGGCAACTAAAGGTACAGTTTTATAATCTTGGCCTATACATCATCTGTCTTATGCAGTCAGTCAGTCAGTAACAACGTAGAACGTCGTACGTACGTACATCAGTTCGATTTGCCACACCGCATTTGCACAGAGATGCAGTAGTCGATTCAAATCCCGTAGTGCAAGATGTAGTAAAATTATAAGCTGTAATCAGAAAAATTAGGGTTTGAAGATGTTATTCAAGGAGTATAATACAGTGAAATCAATTTGGGAAGAGAAAAAAGGGACATGAAGAATTCAGAAGATTAGAATTTGGGAGAACATAAAGAGTGGATGCACCTGCGCCATTGCAAACGATTTTGAGACATGTCATTCAGGGTCTCTAACCATCGGTTGCTATCATCTTGCGGTCCCCAACTAGGTAGTCTACACTTACCAACATGACTCAGTGCACTTGTCAGTGACTTCATGGACTTGTGCCATGTTTTGGTCCGGTCGCTTCTAGCTTTCTTCCAACCTACTCCTATACCACTGAACATAGCACGTCGAGGCAGTCGGTGGTTTGGCATACGTAACACGTGTCCCAGCCATCCCAACTAATGAAGTTTCACTACTTCATCAATTGATTTGCCATCCTTACCTAGTACCCGTTTCCTAACAACTGCATTACTTACTCGATGGTCCCGGGATAAACGAGAAATATTTTGAAGACACCTATGATCAAATACTAGTTACCTACGAATATCCTCTACTCTTACCCGCCATGTTTCACTGCCATAAAATAGGACGGAACGATTTGCTGCGCAGTAAACACGTCCTTTGGTTGATAGACGGATATCTCGCCTACGCCATAAATGACGCAAGTTGGTAAAAGCTAGTCAAGCCTTCTGTATCCGTGCTGAGATTTCGTCACACACCAGACCACAAGGGCTGATAAGACTTCCAAGATAAGTGAAGCGATCGACACACTCAACTACTTCACTCCCTATCGTTAGTTCGGTTGTCAATGCAACCCAATCCTGAAGCAACATTTTGCATTTCGATGGAGAGAAGTCTGAAGTTTGTGCTGGTGATGTCGTTCAGAAGAACGATGAAAGCTCCACGATCAAACCATCCAGTTCAGAGAACAAAACTCCACCAAAACCATCCACCTGAGCTACAAATCTCCACCATCTTGATGGGGAGAATCGCATGACGAACATGCTTGCATTGTTGCTTAGAGTGATCAGGAGACTCTGCATTTTGTCAGCGTCTTCACCAAATAAAACTGTGTCATCAGCATATTCTAAGTCAACAAGTGAATCTCCCGGTAGAAGTACAATCCCTGAAAATTTAGATGAGGAAAGTATTATCTCCAAAAGCACGTAAACAACAGAGTTAAACAAGAATGGAGAGAGCGGACAGCCCTGACGAATACTACTTGAGGTAATCAATTCTGATGACAGTTAGTCAGACGAGTACGCGCTCGTACTAGAACATGATGTGAATCTAAGCATGTGCTCCAGAATGAGCGACAATCTTCTATCGAGCCCCTCCATCGGTGGCTGATAGCGATGTGATCTATTTGGGTCCGACGTTGGGATGAATTAGGGGGTCGCCATGTCAAAAGATGTTTTTCCTTATTCTCAAAGTTAGTATTTGCAAAGAAAAGGCCGTTATCTGAGCATAGCTGCAACAGACGGTCGCCATTATCTGTTCTTTGAGCCACGATGCTATAAGATCCACCTAGGTGTCTTTCCCTATCGCTTAGTTTACCTACTTGAGCATTAAAGTCACCGGCCATTATTACTACATCCGAGCGCCTAGCTTTTCGGAGAAGGTCCGAAAGCTTTCTGTAAAACTCATCTTTTACATCATCCGCGCTGCAGTCAGTGAGAGGAGAGGCAGAGACGACGAAGAGGCAACGACGAATGTCCCTATTTTTCCGAGTCCTTATTGTTCCGTTCAGTCGGACAGCGCACAAACGACTGTCTACTGGGATCCACTCTAAGAGAGCTAGTTCTGTCCTAGGACTCAATGCTATACCTACGCCAGCGGAGCCACGGGAAGCAGAATCTCGGCTTTCAGATACACGAAGTGTGAATCGAGTCGGTTCTTTATTTTGGCATGGTGAGGTCAAATGAATGACGCTACTCGGATCCTGTATGCGCGTTTCGGAGACCCAGCACACATCGATGGTGCGAGATTCTAAAGTTCTAGCTAAGGAAGCCTGCTGTCCTATTTGGCACAGTGTTCGGACGTTAAAAGCTCCTACGTGTAGTTTAGAGCGTGGTTTCAGGAGACCAGGAATAGCGTTCCGCGTACTCGAATCGTTTGCACTAGCGGTGCAAGGTGATAAAGAGAAGTGAGGAGGGTTAGTCGGGGAGATAAAAGAGGTATTAGGTGTAGGGAATGGAACTAGAAAAGAAGGCCCAGGACTTGGAGAATGCTGGTCAGCGGCCTATGCTCCTTTGGGAGTAACAGGCGTAAGTAAGTAAGTAAGTAAGGTGTAGGGAGGATTTGAATGTGACCACCTTGGTCTCTTGTGCTGTTACGGGTATGAGGGCTGATGTCACTTCCCGGCTGCCACACCGTGGAAGGGTATTTCTTGAGGAACCTGAAAAGAACATTGGATTAGTGTTGGTCTTAACGATTTGAGAGCGTGACCGCAGAGCCCAAGGGACAACTGCTTGAGGCCGGTCGCGCACGGCCTTTTCGTGGAAGTTTTTTAACGTGTTAGCTCCGTTCTTCAAAGGGCCTTTCCGCCGGAGACGGAAATCCGTGAGGTAAGGTGAGGTGTGACATCTTTAAGGTCGACCTTTTCTAACCCGACCTCTCCTTGTGGGAAGGCAGCATCGCCGCAGATGCTGGTTGTCTGAGGGAAACACCTTACTGCTGTCACACCCCTCTACAGTCAGCACTACGACTTCGCCCTCAGACCTTGAGTTGCTGCTTTTAGTCTTACCGTTCTCCAACGGACCTGTCTGGCATGGTAGAACCTACAGGAACATATGTTCCAGCCAATATAGCTCGGTTGGGTCATCACGATAGGTAAGCCCAACCACCGCGTCAAGGTAGTAGCTTCGGCCGGACTGTCTTATGCTATTAAGCATTATTCTAAAAAAATGCAATATATATGTTACAAAAGCGATTTTTGTCACACAATTGTTTTCATGGTAATGATTAAAGTGTTTCCCATTCATCCATGAATTTACTTTGAAAAATTTGCCAATCCTGCCTTCCTAATAAAAGTATTTTAATGGCAAGTAACTATTAGTGTATCTTGAAGTAAGAGATTTTCAGGTGTAATAAAATAGTGAAGTTTTTCGGCATCGTTTCAACTTTAAAAAATTACTTTAGTTTTTTAAAAGTATCCTTAAATCTTTACAGTCATAACGTATGCAAATATGCACATTTAGAACAGAAGCTCAAGCGATAACTTAAGGTGATTTAATTTTGAGTCTTACATCCATTAGAAATAATTTATAGTTTGACTTATTATGACATTATTTCATTTTGTTTGATATAAACATCATTGCAAACTTAATGAATAGATATATAGCAGCTTGAGACTTCTGTAATATATTTACCCTAATATTTTATACATAAATGTACTCAAGAATTTCATGTCATATTATCAACTGTGTTTCCCTCTCCGATTGTCTCATTAAAGTGTTTGAAGTCACTCATTCAATAGTTCAGTATATGATGTCACTCTACGATAAGAAAAATAAACTCAAATAATTTCCATAAATTTACTATCTTGAAAAGTAATCTAAATTAAAGGTGAATTTATTTTATTTATAAAAAAGAAATCAATTTTTCAAAGAAATAAAACAAACACAAAAGGTCATTGAACATCGTCTATGAATTTGTCAGTGAAAGAAAATAAAACAAGATTATTAATTTATCAAAAAGAAAAACAAAATAAAATTACTTTTTAATAATTATTTCTTTAAAGTTAATCCAAAACAACAACAAAAGAAATCATTCGATATTAAAAATGTTACAAATATTTTAGAATTATTTGATTGGTTTAAATTATTGACCAATCAGAAATTATTTAGTTTAAATATATAGAATAAATGATTTTCTATAATAAATTATTGAACTGAAATAATGTTGTCAATGGAAAGTTTATCATTAATTATTGGTATTCTAATATTTATTTGTATTTGTTTATTTTTATTTATTTTACATCAAAGAACAACAAATTCTAAACAATCTTATTCATATACTAAAAATTTACGTCACACATATTTTAATTCATCTATTATGAAATGTATAACATTATGTAATAAATTATGTTATTCTATTAAAACAGCACATCAAAATGATTTCGAAGCAAATAATATCAACAATAATATAGATCATACATGCAATGTTAATAAATTAATCAATCCAGTAAATGTTCATATCTCTTCTTCAACTATACTTGATCCAGATCAACAAACTAATAGTTTAACATATGAACCAAATAAATGTATTGAAAATTATAAAATATTTCATAATCCTATTTATTATAATAATAATATTAATGTTAATGGAAAATATTCACAATCATCAATGACAATTGATCATGATCCTATAAAAAATCTCTTATTCAAATCGAATTCAAATCTAAACTCGAAGAATTATTTTATACATAAAACATCCGATTCATCATTAAGTTGTAGTTATTTAAATGATATTACAAATCCATTTGATATTACTGATAATAATTCAAGTAATTTAAATAGTTTATTAGATAAAGTATCGCAGCATAAAATACATTTTAATAATAATAATTCACGTAGATTAGAATGTAAAAATTCACGAACTAAAATGTTAGCAATGAAATATAAAAATTATTTATATAGAATAAAACAATCATCTAAATATAATGAATTACATTCAAGATTACATGGATTATCTAATATAAAAACAATGTAAGTTATTTATGATATATTTGTATCAGATCTTCAGGTCGAAGGCTCCTAGTGTGGCCACCTAAGAAAACCACCTGATTCGGTTTGGGCACTCGATAAATATCACAGCCCTTACACATATCATATGACATCTGTGTGGTGCATATTTATTTGGTGCCTTGTTGTACCAATATCTATGTATTAAAATAAAATAAAATAAATATATATTAAGTATTCTAATTATAATCATAGAGAATGTCATCTATGAAAATGATTATACATACGGATGTGTATTTATAATCTATTTATGATAAGTTAATTAAACGAGATAATATTCTATTTACACGGGTATGTTTAGATAATTTGTAGATCTGTTAGTTAATTATAATGATATTTGTAGATGGAAAAGTCAGTCATGTCGGATTATATATTAAGGAGTTTAAACTATAAAAGTTAATAACTTTAGAAAAATTATCAAAATTTGGCAGATATTGGTGAATAAATTAACAGCACTAAGATTATAACACATTATAACTTGTCAGTAAAGGTCGTCTAATGCTTTCAAGTTTTCAATGGTGATCTAACATTGATCGATACATGATCTCAATCATTATGACTAAACTTGACAATATTAGAAAAACGACGGTTTTTCCTTCTTCGTCTTATTTCTCAACTTTTCGCCAGATAACATGGTGCTTTCCAAACTTTAGTAATTGAAATCATGACTCAAACAGATTTATACCGATTACTGACGTTCTTTGCAATCATTATTCAGAGAAGCTAATGCAATATAATATTCTTTTTTCCAGTTTAAACCGCTTGAGAACTTTCATCATCAAGGTTAAGTTAAATTTCATCTAACAATTTTTATTTTTATGAACCTTTCGTTTTGTGATAAATATAACATGAAGATCTAATTTTACACAAAGTTGTATGAAACATAATTAGCATTTAAACAAGGGATCATATATCGACTACTAATAAATAGTATGAAAGAGTTCCATACTAGGACGTCCAGTGCTTCCAGGTTTTCCATGGTGGTCTAGCTTTAATTGACCTATGATTTCAACTATTGAAATTACTAAAATCTCCACAAAATTCCTTCTGATACTAATAAATAGACAAAATATATACACTTACATTAAGTAATTATTTGCTTAATTCGTCTAGATTAAAATATTTAGGTTTTATGTACTGATAAATTTAATTGACAGTTCGGTAACTAGTTTTTTTAATACATATGATCATAACACAATTAAAGTAGGACGTATGAAGAATGTAAACTGTTTCATCTGATATTCAACAGATACTTATTGAAAAAGTACATATAAATGATAAACCATAGATTCACACATTTTTTGTCTGATTACTTTGAGATACTATGTAAAAAGATTTAAAAATCTAATCGATTTAGTTCACTTTATCAGTAAATATTTTAAGGGAAAAATGGCACGACTATAATTTATGAACGAGTCAATCAGATTTAGGGTAATGTGTCTTGGATTTTGTCTCGAAATTCATTCATCCATTTAGTTAAATAGCATATTGGCATTTTAGCTTATTTAAGTCCGTAATGAAAACCATAAATCTAATTCTTAACCCTAACTATCAACTGTAAATCATAATCTATATTCTTCACACAGGTTTACAACTCTTATTTAGCTCTAGTAGGTAGGTGGACATTCTTAAGGTCACTTTTGCGTCGCCTAAAGGTCGTCCATAAATTATAGTCTCACCGACACAGTTTTTAGTTTACACCTAGTGCTTTTTAAAAGAATAATGTTGAAATAATTATGGAATTCTTTCATGTTTCTATATATTTGTTTTGGAACTGATATTGATTATGGAAAATTAATTGAAGTCAATTTAATAAATTTTGTTATGGATCAACAAATTACTGATATTATATAATCACTAAGAGATCAAGACAGTCCTAGCAAAGAAAGATCAATTGCAGTTCATCTTTTTTAGAATAGTTTAGCCTTCTTTATTCTAGAGTATATTACTGGAAATTAAGTAGTCCCTTGTGAATATATTGTAAACTTTTGCTTAACATTAGTTGGTCACTAAACAAAATATTTATCTTATTTATATAAATAATTATATTATTTATAAATACTTTAAACTTTTCCAAGGTGACAGTTACTGAACTCTTGGATTTAAACTATAAGTACGACTTTGTTCTATCCTTCAGCTAACGTATTTTTTAAACTTCTCATACTGCTCATTGTTCTTGAATTATTTTATCTTAATTCTATGAAATATTTGTTATATCAGCTGTGGATAAGTGTTATTAGATTTTTATTTAATAAGTAGTTAAGTGTAAATGCCTTAGCTCCAATAGGGAACGGTTTTGTGACTCATATTCGGCTAAGTTAAATAAACAAAGCATTTCAGTGTATGTTTCAAGTGATTATGTTGTTAGTATAATTATAGAAAATGATTATTTCAAAATAACACCCCTAAAACCTACATGGATTATTCCTTTCATACTCCTACGAATAAAACAATTAAGCTTTTACGTTACTATTACCACTCTAAAACCAGTCTCAACCTTATCACATCAAAAGTGGATAACGCATCACTTTTGATCAAGAGATAAGCAATTGTGAAGTAATTATTTGTTAGTTAACCATCAGATATCATTCTACTACTTCGGTTGTTAGATTGTTAATAAATACGGTATTATAAACCTGTTGATTGAAATTGTTTATGTGATTTTTTAAATCTCTACTGGCGCTCCATAATAACATTTAGTCTAAGGAAAAGTTAGACTTGACCTAACAGATACAAAACGTTTGTTTAAAAAAAACAGGTGTCTCCAGTTAAGTAAAACAAGTAAGGTGATATTTAGTTCAGATTGGGACTTTTCATTAAGATGCATCAGTAACCTCAACTATGATACAATAAAAGATTTTCTTATCTTTGCGATATTGTGATACCTTTACATTTTTTGAGTTACATTCTTAACGTCAATCCCGTTAGCAGTTGTAAATATCATTCACTAAGTAGGACAAATTTTGAAGGCCTGGTCATGTATTTGTTAAATATTTATTTATTTATTTATTTGAACACAAACATTGGTTCAAGGGGGCACAAAATACATATGCGCCACACAATTACAACGAGGCCAGTAGTAGTTATCATTGATTTTTGTGAGGGCTATGATGCTGCCCGAGCGCCCAGACCGTATCAGGTGGTTTTCTTAGGAGGTCACATCCTGATGCTTTGATCTACAGGTCTAATCCACAAGGCATTGGAGAAACGTTAGGAGATGAGGTCCCATGATAGCAAGTGACCAACAATAGGTTCATACGCCATTTGTTCCCTCAACAACCTGGAGCCCATGTGCACCATCAGTTTGAAACCAGGGTTTTCCAACTTCCCTGTCTATCAACCCGTTTCATGCGCCAAACATTCGTTCTTTGTCCTCTCAATCTTGTAAACAACACCCCTGCTACGAGAAGGCAGTAAATAGGTCTCTTATGGCAGTGGCCGTATAGGCGTGACCATGTGAGAGCATTTAGAGAGGGAGAGTGAACTCTCTCCATGCTCATTTGTACCTGAGTATTTGGGGGCATATTAGTGTTTTAATCACAATCGAAAACTTAACAATCTCCAAACCTTATGCTGATAATTACCATGTGCTTACTAGTGACTAGCTTCGTGAGGAAATTCTCAGTGTTCTAGTTAGTTGCCGTGACCAGTGGAAACCAATACGTGTCAGATAGAGACAGGTATCTGTATCAGACAATGGATGATGGTCGCGCAATTTCGTGAATTGGTTGAAGTTAGACATTAACACCATTTGATGCCGACTAAGTGGTCTACAGGTTAAGTGTTCACGTGTGAGATCGAAAGTCCTGGGTTCGAATCCCGTGGGTGCGCACTACTGAGGAGTACTATACTCGGACGGAGCATTCGTCCACTGCTTCAAGGTTTTCGATGGTGGTCTAACATGGTGGTCAATCGATTCACTATTTCAATCAAATACGTAGTTTAATGGCCATTTTAGAAGAAAGTGAAAACCTTAGAACAGTGTACAAAGTATTCAGAAATAGTTCAATATGCACGAAATCATAAGAAATATAAACCTAGGTTTCTGAATATGTTCGTTTTGTAGATATTGTATTAAGCTTGCCACTATTTATGAGATGAACAGATTTTGTTGAAATAACAGAGACATAAGCCTCACATATCATAGTTTCAGGTTTATAAATGATCTAACTATTCTTCGGATATTACACAATGTCATCTTTGGAGATCAGGTAATTGGCAGTTATACCGCAATATTGGTATGAAAGTTACTGTTTCTTCAGTGTATTGTAGTTTGCTTATGTGTATACTGCTGAATAATTTGATGTTCAGGATAAATTGAATTATTTAGTAATCGGTTCCGATTTATTCATTATCAATTTTTATTTTTTAATTAATTATTAGTGAATGTGTTCAACAGCAAGAGATGGCTTTCTTAAACAGTGAATCCCCTTGGGTGAAGGCAAATAATACAACACACTGTAGTTCAAGCATTACAGGCCAAAGTAATCAATCTAGTAAGTCTATTCATAAAACAGGTTATAAAAACATAAGCTGACAAACTAGATTGCAGTATAAAACATTCCTATTGTTCTATTAGGCAACTGTAGCAGTAGTTTGTGTTTAGTAGGCAAATTACTTTCAACTTGCTAAGTTTACTGAATTGCAAAAACGAAATCAAATGTAGCTATCTGAGAGACAACGTACAGTGCATTATATGTAAATGGAAACATTTGGCTTAATTTCAAAGTGTGAATTTAGGTGTGTTTAAACATCGTATTTACAAACAAGAGCTGGGAGCGAGAACGTATTCTTCTTCCATAATAGTCGTCATAATTGTTTGTGGACTGGGATACTGCATATAAACCCATATCGATTCAGGCAGTTTTCTTACAAAGCCATTTTGTGAAACATTATTCTAATGACATTACCCACAAAACCATAGGTCAACATGAGAACATTCCGACTAATGATAATCAACAACCAAAAGAAGGTTTATGCTCCATTTTCTCCCTCAGGATTTTGGAGCCAGTGTCAATTATATATTTGGATTTAGTGCTTATTAACTCCCTTCCATGAGACCTCTGTGTGCAACACTTTTGTTCGCTTCTTGCTCTCGCCTCTACAAAAATGGCTCTTCAATGTGAAGAAAATTACTAAGACTTCCTTGACAATGGCATTTCTGGAGGGAGGGCCGATTATTTGCGATCGCGGCTACACTAGGGCATTTACTTTTATCCTTTTATTAAATCTTGATTAGGCTTCTTTTCTTTTTTCTGTCTATTCACAGTATCATTTCTTTATTTATGTAGAGCATTTTTATTTTGTTGTCCAGCTATACTAATATTTATGTGTATTAAATAACTTTGAAGTTTGGGATGTAAATGTAATAAGTATTTACGAAAGAGACATAAAAATTCCGTGCACTGAATGATACTCGGTTGGCATAAACTTCATGACTAGGTATGAATAATTGAGTAAATTAAACATTTTAATTGAAAAAAAACAACTGACCTTACCTTTATATCAAACGTGAGTGATTTTTTCCAATGAAGTAATTGTAAACCTGTGTGAACAGCATATGTACATATAGATGATGTTTATGTAGAAGACATGGTTCCACAGTAAGTTACAAATGCATCAATGAAGTGTTAATACCTAACATTCTTTTTAAGTAACTATCTGTTACTTGCCCTAATGTAAAACAAAAAGTTGTTTCAAATTTGAGGATCCTTTTTTGTCATGCATAGAAGACACTCTATCTCATATTGATTAAGCTCTATACTATTCTCATGAAAAAATGTAATAATGTACATATATAATGTATTTTAGGTTGTTCGAGTAATGAGGATGAAATTTTACTGTCTATCTGTCCAAAAGCACGTGATCCAACTAACATTCTGGCCGATATACATGTTCCATTGAATAAAATTATCTTCAACAATGTGGTTCTGCAAGGTAATGATATTTTTGTGTTACATATGGAACAGTTATGTGCTTATTACTATCAGGCGTTCATTAAGTAATTTGAAAAGTAGGCTTTTAAGACATACGGCTTCGTCAAATCAGATCACATGTAGGTGTTTAAATAAGATCGAAAGTTTTTTCTTATTATTGACTGAGTAAACTAGAAGTGACTCCACTTGACCATTATGAAATACCGTAATTACTCTCGAGCATTGTTTGCCAGATTAAATCGTTGCATTGAACTAAACAGTGTTTGAAATAACTAATGAAGGTTATGGTCAGTGTAATCAGTGATAGGATTAATTTTAAATTGCAGTTAAACGCAAACACCTTACTAATGATTTTACTAAACTCTACAAACGTCTGTTTTTCATTTATTAGTGCAATCAAGTCAAATGTTCTTCATGTAAATTTTAGTTACTGCCTCCTACAGTAAGCTTTTGACACAAACAACAAAATTCAACTACTTATACAGTATAGGCATTGTGCTTATACTGCAATAATTTTTCTCTGCTTTACTGACAGAAGACTTAAGTGATTAGAAATAGAGTAGCTATGTACTCGTTACTGCTATAGATTTGTTTCTCATGATATTCCAGTTAGTTACCTTAGAGTATTAAGTGAAATAATCAATAGTAATTAATTTCATAAAATTAACACAAGAGCAAATCTGTAAATACGACAGTCTATGCAACTTATTTTTCATATATATATATATATTCTGCTAGGAGTCTTTAAGTAAGTAACGTAATTGGACTGCTCAAAGTTGAAATGAAAGTAGAACGTGAATTTCAATAAGAGTCCATATCGTAATAAACGTACATTTGATCCAACCCATGTGATGAGAATTCCAGTCGACCAGTATAAATCCATAGGTAACTTTGTACTCAAATTTCATACTAATTAGTAAGCATAAGTGACAAATGTAATCGATTAACTTATTCACATAACAACAGTCCTCAACCAAAGCCTGTACTGGACTGTGAACCAAAAGAATACAGTATTTTTCTGACTGGCAGTATAACATCTGATAGTTTTTCATACAATTCAAAAAGCCAAAAATTATTAAGAACAACACTGGTCCTTGTAAGCAGAGATTGATGGTGGCTAGCAGTGTAATCCAAGACGCTCATTTCGTCTTATTATGAATAACGCGATGGCGTTTGAAGCGAACAGTAATGGGTTCGAATCATGGAGTGGACGTCAACTGTTGGATGCAGGTACATCTAGCTGACGAGTTCCGATTAAGACGAAACGCGTATCCTGAATTCCATTGCTAGTCACTATCCATCTTTGCTTATAAAGCTCGTGACTTAAGACAATATCGAGGAATTCGGTACAGCATGCATATATGCCAACAAGAGACTGATCAATTGCACAAGAATGGGAAGATACAAGCAAACAATACCAAGGGAATTTAACATTGATCCTTTTTCATAGAAACAGATTTCTAAAATGATGCGTTATGTTTGTTTGCAACTAATAAAAATACCACTGTTTGATCTGTTGAAAATTATTATGATTTAAATCATTCACAAACGTCTCTATCTGTTGAAAGTTTTTCCTTAATTTATTTAGGAACATTTAGTCAACTGTATGAAGGAAAACTCTTGGTATCATTTCGAAGACATGGTATTTGTACAAGTAAATGGAAGCAAGTATTAATCAAAACACTAACTGGTTTGTTTTTAGTTTGAATAAATCTTTTAAAAATTTCCTTTTTTTGCTCAAGGTGGTTTTTTCCCTGTTAGTTTTAATGGATAAGTTATATAATGTTTCATCCTAAACCATAATATTCTAATGAACTTTAAGATAAAAAGTTATTTATTGTATGTAGCTCTTAAAGATACAAACAACATTATGAAACCTAATGTCAAAGATTAACATTTAGGAATCCGGTTATCTTTAAAAGAATAACAATTTACTTAGAGCTGGTTTTCTGCTTAAATAATTGCCGTCAATAAACAGATCCATAAAGTTTCATTTATCAATGATTTTGTTTAATTATTTATTCTGAATTGACGAATTGATCTAAACAGCTCAGCTATCCAGTAATAAGATATTCTTTATATCTATGGTAACTATCACTTTTTGACATGTATAAAATGTTTCTGATGATATATGTAAATATCTATGAAATGATAAGATGGAATAACAGTTGGAGAGGTAAATAATTCCAAAAGACTTCCTTGCTATAATAAATGATAAATGATCTTGGTTTGTCCCCTAAATACCACTTCAAAAGTATAAATTTAAGGAAAACTATAAATTATTTTATTGTACACGTGCTATGTAATAAACTATTTTGTCGCATCTTTCGCTGAAAGTAGAGTAACAACAACCTACTGAGTTTCTACAAAAACATTTTCAAAGAACTGTGGTTCTTCTTGTTCAGAAATACTTTCCTTAAAGTGGAACATTGATAATACGACTTGTATGTCACATTAAAAAAAACTGGTATCCATTTTATTTATTTATTTTGAGTCCTAGTAATTATTGTTTCCAATGTTTTTAAATAAGTAAATCAAATAACTATGATTTTCTTCCACATTCTCTACAAGTGATACATAGCGAGAATATAACGTACGAAGAAGAGTATCTAAAACTTGGACAAATGTCCTGGAGCACTGAGTTCTTTAATTTTATTTTGAAGTACAGTGTGGGATAAGCTGAGCTTCATTGATTTTAATCTATGAGTAAACGCATCAATCCCTATTTTTTCTGTATGTTCTTGTACACTTAGTTATAAAGAATGTTTTCTTTTCTTTATTATTATTATTTATTTATTTCCTCTCTTTAATTATATCGTGATGTCTAACAATAATCAAACAGAAAAAGCCACAGCAGAACAAGTAAGACTTTTTAAAAGTGATGCATGTAAATTTGTTGGGGCAAAACATTCACATATATCGTCCATTATTGCAGCTTCGAGTACGTCAGTTTGTGTAAGTTCCCTATCTAATCAACAAATAATCAATCAACCGATTCTTATTTATTCAAACGCCAAATATGGAAATTTAAAATTGTTCTTGCAAAGGCGATCAAATGGGAACATCAGACCAAATACGGTAAGTAGTTGTTTGTCATTTTTAATGTAAAATTGAACAAATGTACTAACTGGCCTAAGTAAATATAAGGTTTTTTAGTATTGAGTGTAAAAGCTAAACAAATTTCGTACTATAAATTAAATTTTCCATTAGCATACCATAGGTTTGCGCATATACTTCGTAATTATTGCGTATAACTTTATGGAGTAATTGTCACAAATAATTTATGCCTAGACCAATGATAAAAACATATAAAAGTTTAATAGTTGAATGAATCAGTCGATTTAAGCCAAGCCGAAAGCCCTGGGTTTGAGTCCCATGTGCGGGATCGTGGATGCGCACTGACGAGAAGTTCACTACTAGGACGAAACGCCCGTTCAATTCTTCCGGGTTTTTCATGCTGATATAACTTAAATCGACTCATGAATTCAACATGTAGAAGTATGACGGCGGCCTGCTTGAATATCTGGGATACCTGTTTCTGCCATCTAATTATTTCAACACGTTATCTGTTTTTTCATTTTGTTTCAACGTCTCATTACGTCCATTAATCGCATAACCTATACGGGCGCGTTTATGAGAAGCCTATGACCTTTCGCTGCACAAGTTAAAAAAAGTACCATAAAAGACAGCGTGGTGGTTTGCAGTATGCATTAAAAAGAATGAACATTGATCGTATGTCGATTCCCGAGCTGCTAAATTCTAACTGCCGATCACTAATCAACAAAGTGGACTATCTTCAATTCCTACTAAGTCAAAATATGTATCGTAACTGTGGTGTCATCACAATTCAAGAATCTTGGTTAAATGATTTATAGGATGACTGCCTAGTATCACTACGTGATTTCAAAATTTATCGTCAGGATCGATCAAACAATAAAAAGATGTGTGGCGGCAGTGTAGCTACGTTTGTAAACGTGAACTGGTGTCGATCTTCGTTTGCGTGTTTCAAGTTTCCAAATGACTTTATCGACTGTCTAACTCTAAGATGTCGTCCAAAACATCTGAATAAATACAGATATGTTTATGTTACCAATATCTACGTGACTCCATACTGCACATAATCTGCGCTATCTGTTTTCGCTCATGAATTCACTGAGTTCGCTGTTACTGCCTTCAGTGATTCACTTTCAGTTGTATGTGGCGATTTTAAATCATGTGACTGTAGCTTCCTTACATCACTAGGTCACCAAAATGTAGTAGATTTTCCTACTCGTTTGGATGCTCCAGTCACTTAATTCATCCCGACGTCTAGGACATTAACGGTATATCTAAAGAAAACAGGTAGTTTATGTAAAACAAGTTCGATCTTAACCCTAAGTATATCATCATTATGAGTGACAACATATCATACAGGACGTAAACTCTGCATTTCAACTTAAATGAAGTTTTACAATGATCTAAATCAACAAAGATTAAACCTATTGGTTAATAGAAATTTAATTTTTATCTAATATATATTTTATATAATATCATATGATATGAATACGTTGAAAATAAAATTTTCAGATGTTCTATTTCAATAAAGTTTATATGAATTGCACCGTAGTATATGACTCTTTAGATAGCATGAGATAGTATAATCATAAATGAAATGTAGGATAATTTAGCTTAGATGTAAACTTTGTTTATCATAGGAATCAATGTCAACCTTTACTTATTTGAAACAAAAAACTAGATCGAGTTATCGAGGACAACAAAATGTTGAACTATATTTGACCTAAATATTACTACTTCTGAATAAAGCAAGAACAATTATTTCAACAGGATAACCTAGATTCGTTTTGTTTAGGTAGGTTTTAGTTTGGTGCTGATAATCTGTAGTGTTTTAAAATCATAGGGAGTTGTGTTAATGGAAATCAGGTTTATACACTGAAGTGTCTCAAAACGATTAGTAGATAACCTAGTTCAAGCCTTCTGTAGCTTGCTAAAACTATTTGTCAGACATCAGAAAGATGATTTATGTGTTCAAAAAGAGTGATTTCATTCCTTGTTTGCTCTAGAAACATGAACATTGTTTCATTACATCATCAAACTTTTTTTGGTTTTTTCTTATGTGATTAATTCATTGTTTCAGTTTTTTGGCTGTATTCTAGTCTAATAATTTTATTTCCGATTAGTTGGGTTATTAATCATTTTATTCTTATTTATCAATGACGTTTGTTCATTGCTTGACCAATCGCTTCTAGCCCTTTAATCTCTAACCACTATCATTGTTCCAGAATATCTTTCTGTATACTCTAGGTGTTTGAAGTATGGTGTACTGAGATATGCTCACAACAACTTCAAGTTAAGCTTATTTATATCAATATTTTCAACCCATTTTTGAAATAGTTTCTTTTTAAAACATTACAGGTTACAAGAAACTGACAAGAACCCTAATTAAATATAGTGAATTCATACTGTTTTGGTTAAATCTTCATTTATGGTCTTTTCAAGTTAAACATAGATCGTTGATGCCAGTTGTTTAGGTATAAAATGTTACAAATTTATACAATACAGTATTTTTGGGAAAAATAAATGAAGAGTTAGACTGAAACAAAAGATCTTTTGACTGAGATCATGATCCGATTGATGTTAGACCACCATTGAAAGCCTGGAAGCAATGGACGGCCATTTCGTCCTAGCATGGGACTCTTCAGCAGTGCCCATCTACGATCCCACTCGTGGGATTCGAGCCCAGGACCTTCGGTCTCGTGAACAAACGCTTAGCGTTTAGACCACTGAACCAGCATCCAACGGTAATAATGTCTAGCCTCAACGAATCCACAAAAGATATTCTCAATTTAAGTTGGTTAATAATTTCAGAAGGTAGAAGTAGTAGTGGAACTTATTTCCTAATTTGCACAGTTTTACTTGACTAGCTACTGATTTAGCACTTATATATCGGCAAAAGTGTTTTCTACTGTATTTTGTTTTAAAAATACACCCTTAGAAATTTAATTTTTACTGTAATTATAATAGTTGTTGTTATTGTCTAGTAAACACCATACTTTCTGTTTATCTACTTTTCGGGAAGAAAATGAATTGAAGTTTGGATTACTCAAAAATGCTAACGAAATTTATTTTATTTATCAGTAATTAGGAATGATTATTATTTATAACTTGATGGTCATTATTATTTTAATAAAGTTTTGAATATTCTTTTGTATAATGTTCATAGATACTTACAGCAGCTCAACTTATCAACATGGCGTTACAAATTCTTAGTGCAGCAGATTATTTGCACAGTATAAATGTGATTCATGAAGATATTGCAACACGAAATTGTCTGTAGGTATATTAATTTTATCACTAAATTCATAAAAGTCTTTGGAATATTTTCAGTAAAAGTTGGTTATTTGTAGACGATTATCAAGAAGTTTTTAACATGGGTTTCATGTTAGCCAAAGATCCCTTGGAATGATAACTTGTACTGTTGAATTAAGTACTGTTTCTTCGATGACTGAAATCCTTGTCATTCATTTTGATAGCCTGTGGCTCTACGACTGAGCTATTTGGTTTGTAACTGACATTTTGTGGGAGCTTGTGGTCGATTGCAAGTACTTTATTATCACAGATGGTGTTAATAACCCAAGTGACTTAATTGCAAGGTCAGTGCTTATACTACGTAGAGTTACCTATTCAAATCAGAAGAATATCTTTATTCACAGGTTTTCAGACACATTCAGACGTGTCAGCTGGCACGAAGTCTAAGTTAAGAGTTTTATGCAGATTACTTTCAATCGTTTAACATCTAAATAAATAGATGCAGTCATCTTCATTTTTCGGAGCAGTTCACTCAGCATTTATAATAAATCTACATGATATAAGATACCACTGCAAAACTGAATCGCATATTTGAATCAAACTTCAGTGTATAAGATGAATGTATTGTACTGCGTTGAAACACGTAACAGACAAGCGTACAATAGGACTAAAAGTGTTCACTCAGAACTAATATGATTGCCACTGATTATTTTTTCCTAATGTGCATTTAAAATCCCACCGATGAACAGAAGTTAACAAGGCAATAAATTTTATATTGCTTAGGTGTAAAAAAACATGAGGATTTTAAAATGGTTCAGCTTTTCCAAGTCAAATGATATAGATCCTTAGGGTTGTCATAAAATTTCAACTGATGTTTCAAGCTAATTTACAATTATTAAATTCACTCAACAGGCAGATTTTTAAGGTTTGAAATTTGTTGACGGATACTGAATTTCAGAATATTCATAAAAATAAAGCTTGAATGGGCTAAAAAAACATGGTTAATTTGATAGTTTTACTGAAAGCAGTCAGTAACAAGGACGGAAGACAATGTTTAGTTTAAGTTATAACTATTCGAATTTCCCTTTCTCTAGCTAACTTCATTTTTAATGATTACAATCTTTTCTTTTACAAGATTAAAATGTAGAACACGTGTAGCTCTTAGTGACTCGGCACTCAGTAGAGATCTATTTCCTGAAGATTACCATTGCTTAGGTGATAATACAAATCGCCCAGTGAAGTGGTTAGCATTGGAAGCGTTGATCGAAAGAAAATATACTATGGCAACAGATGTTTGGTCTGTTGGAATAACGTTATGGGAGCTTATTACTAGAGGTCAACAACCTTATGCCAGTATAGATGCATTTGAAATGACAGCTGTACTGCGAACCGGATACAGACTGAAAAAACCTCATAACTGTCCAGATGACTTGTGAGTTTTACTCCTGTTTGTTCAAATTCTATTGGTAATAACCCAGTTTGTACTGCTGTTATTTTACATTTAGCAGTTGTAGGAATGTTTTCAAGATGCCTGAATTTGACATATTTTAAGCTAGGATGCTGACGAAATAGACATCGAAAATGATCTGGCTCGTCTACTGCACACGCAACAACAAATGCAAGAAAAGACAACCAGTGTAGCAGCAGTCTCAGAAGCAGTAGATCTCACAAAGCGAAAAGCAAGATTCTCCAATACAACACAGCATACACCAACCGAATCACATTTTATGGAGAAGCTTTGGAAGATGCAAAAACCATTACATATCTGGGCAGCATCATTGATGAAGATGGCGGATCTGATGCAGATGTGAAGGCACAGATCGGCAAAGCATGAGTAGCATATATACAAATGAAGAACATCTAGAACTCAAAACAAATGTCAACCAACACCAATATCAGAATTTTCAGTACAAATTTCAAGAGAGTTCTACACTATGGGGCGGAAACTTAGAGAACTACGAAAGCCATCATCCAGAAGATACACATGTTTAGAAACAGCTGTCTACGCAAAATACTTCGGATCCGTTGGCCAGACAATATTAACCACAATCTACTGTGGGAGAGAACAAACCAGATTCCAGCAGAGGAAGAAATCAGGAAGTAGCGGTGGAAGTGGATGGGACACACATTGAGGAAAGCACCCAACTGCGTCACAAGACAAGGCCTCACCTGAAATCCTCGAGGCCAAAGAAAAAGGAGGAGGACAAAAAGACACATTACGTCGACAAATGGAGACAGACATGAGAAAACTGAACAAAAAGTGGATAGAAATCTAAAGGAAGGCTCAGGACAGAATGTGTTGGAAAATGCTGGTCGGAGGCCTATGTTCCATTGGGAGTAACAGGCGTAAGTATGTAAGCAAGTTAAGGATTGTGGAAAGTTACAGTAACATGTTAGAGAGTGCGCTTAGTACGTTTCAATACATTATATATTATGAGTGTTAGAAACAATGAGTTTAGAAAGAAAACAATATTAGTACACATATACAGAACTTTACAGAATACAAAAAGCACTGAATTTAAAGAAAAAATAAACATATTAATATAAACTGACTATCGCCACTTTTAACTGATCGAATTCACTTCATAAATCTGATAATAACTAGATGTAAGATTACATCAGATGACATTATCTCTGTGTACATATAAAGGATATATATATTAGATGACAGTTAGAGTTTCCTTCAGAACTTACAATCTTTTTTTATTATTGATCATAAAAATGATATTCGGCATAGATAAATTGTTTCGCAGAGTATATACATATATATTCCTCACTGAAATGATTTTAATTCCCATGGCAATAATAAAAGTTCATAATATAAGAGAATTCTTTGAAAAAAATATCAAATTAGGTTATTATACATTGAGATATACAAATAAAAAAAACAAACTATGATGAAATGTTATGCTTCAACTATATGGTTGTTTAGTATTTTATTCGATAAAATGAACAAAACTATGGTACTTCAATGGGTTTTGCTTTATGCTTAGCAAAATTTTTCAACTAACTACCCATGAGATATTATGCATTTTAAGAAACTAGAACAGCTGTTGATAAAATAAATATCTTAAAAATGAATCGGTTAGTTACAAATTGAATATAAAAGCTTCCGAAAATCGGTATATAGATAACATATGTTATGTTGTTGATCAAATATAACTTGGTAACATTTACGTTCCAATATTATTTATGCAAGTTAAGTGAAGTATACTATGGTTTCAATTTAAAGGCTTTTATAAGTAGATGAATATAATATACTTTTGTGATCTATAGTTATTGTGTTGTTTGGTTTTATAGTAAACCTTTCTGTTTTAATCAGGTCAAATCTGAATAAAAAGTAACACTGAGTCTTTTGTTTGTGTGAGATAGTTCTCTAGATGATGAGATTTAATTTTGAACAAACAGATTTTATCTAAATTTAAATTTATATTCCTAATAAATGTTACTAGAGTAAACAGCTACATTATCGTATTGATGATGTATTGTATTTATTGACTTACAATCTAATATAATATCTGAATAATAATCTACATATTATGAAATGAAGTGTAGTGATTATAAGACAGAAAAATTACATAACATTGAACAAATTGTTTCTCTCACTTTGATATACTTGAAAGTTTTTTACTAGTGGATATTCAGTGCAAGAAGCATCTTCCAGATAATATTCAAAGTAATTATCATCTTATAATTGTATTTACATTTGGAGGCATATTCAACCACTTAATCAATAATAATTGATGTCAAAGGAGAGAATTAATTCCTTAAAATGGTTTGCTGAGGTTACAGGAAAAATAAATTGTCATTTAATCTACATTAATCTGGTTATTATCCGTAATTTGCTACTATGTATTTTAAATGACTAGTGGTATCCAGATACTTTAAAATAAATTTTTAACATTCTCTAGAAGTTATTATTTTGATCTACATTTCTTACGCTGATATATAAAATTCTATCATCATATGTATTGTTATGGTTACTTACTTGCGCCTGTTACTCATGGAGGAGCATAGGCCGCCGAAGAGAATTCTCCATCCAATCCTGTCCTGGACGATGCTTTTCAGTTCTTCCCAGTTGTTGTTCATCCTTTTCATTATCTCCTTCTATTTCCCGAGATAGTATGTTCTTCGGCCTACCACTTTTCTGCTTCCTTTCAGGATTCCAAGTTGAGGCTTGCCTCGTGATTTAGTTTGGTTATTTCCGTAATGTATGTCCTATCCATTTCCATCGTCGTTTCCTAATTTCCTCTTCATCTAGGAGCTCGTTTGACCTCTCCCACAGCAGGCTGTCGCTGATGGTATCTGGCCAATGGATGTTGAGTATCTTGCGTAGACAACTATTTATAAATACTTGTACCTTCTTGTTGATGGTTGCGGTAGTTCTCCAAGTTTCATCTCTGTACATTAGAACTGTCTTGACGTTTGCATTTAGGATTCTTTGATGCTGGTTGAAAGTTGTTTTGAATAACATATGTCATTCGATTGTATGAATGCGGCCCTTGCTTTGCTAATCCCCGCCTTTAGGTCTTCATCTGATCCTTCTTGTTCAAAAATGATGCTTCCTAGGTACGTGAAAGTTTCCACATATTCCAGAGTTTCGCCATCAAGTGTAATTGAGTTGATGTTCTTAGTTTTGTATTTGAGGATCTTGCCTTTTCCTTTGTCTCTGTTCAGGCCCACTGATGTAGAGGCTGCTGGTTCTTTCATTCGGTTTAGCGACACTCTGCTGAAAAATTTTCCTGGTACTGACAGTAGTGTGATGCCTTTGTAGTTCTCGCGTTTGCTACATTTGTTATAAAAAGTATATATTCTTTTTTCTTAAATCTATCCTATCAAATAAAGCAAATGGTACTTTCTTGTAGTTCTAACTACATTTATTGTTAAACTTTTGTGAACGGGTCAGTTACATGTATTTGTGATCATCTATTTGTTTATTTTTACACATAAACATTGTACAAGGAGGCACCAAATACATATGTGCCACATAAATCATTCGGCTTCTGTGAGGCCTGGGATACTGTCCGGGGTGAAAAACCGATACAAATGGTTTTCTAAGGAGGCCACACCCGGAACTTTTGATCTAAAGGACTGATCCACAAGACAGTAGAGCAACGTCAGGAGATGCAGTCTCACGGTAGCGGGTGACCAACGATAGGTTCATACACCATTTGTTTCCTTAGGATACTGAAACCCATGAGCACCGCTGGTTTGGGATCAGGGTTTTTCAACTCTCTTAGGTGGACTCTCGATATCCATCCACTCGGTTAAAGCACCTGACATTCGCTTTCCGTCCTCTGAATTCCCTTAAACAACACCCCCGTCACGAGAAAGCATTGAGTAGGACTTCCCTGGCAGAGGCTATATACACGTGGCCGTGTGAGAGAGCATTTCAAGAGAAAGAGAGCTGACTCTCCTCATGCTCAGCCACACCAGAGCATTTAACTTTTCGTTTGTTAAAAACACTTTATTACAATTAGTTGAAAAGTTAATCACTGATAATACTGTCATAAAAATATACTATAAACAATACAAAACACAAATGTTCATCTTATAAGTAGGCAATGATCAGAGCTCTAATCAAAGTAAACCAATACTTAGCAACTATTTATTTTTTCAATCTGACATTTAAACAAAGTCAGTACTAATATTCTTTCAAATTTTCACTTTAAATATAAATGAATTTTATTGAAGACATTTAATTTACTATCCAACTAATTACTGTCCAATTACTATCCAATTAATTTTTTTAATTATTAAATAGATGGAAAATTATATTTGCATGCTGGAAAACAAATCCTTCTGCTCGACCAACAATTCGTCAACTTATTGCCAAATTAAAAGCATTTAAAGTTGCAGTAACCAATTATATTTAATTCAAAATAAATATTAAAAACAAAAAAATCTAGATAATATTTTTATTAAACAAGAGAACATAATAATTCATATTATATTTAGTATTTCTAAATATAGATGTATGTAAGCATAGTATTTATTTGTATCCAGGTTAAATCTCTTGTTGGATAATAAATATTCAAAGTATTCATCAAATGAAATGATATCTATCATGTTTTTTGATGATTAGAAATGATGATAAAATTTATATACAAACGATAGTTTTATATTAGTATTATTGTGGTGTGTGCTACTGATATTGACATAAGTAGTATATGATGTTAGTCGTAAACAGAAGGTCTGGAAGTAAAAAGACAAGAGGATCGAACAATAAAGAATGAAAACAGGATGCAATTTGTATGAAAATGCAAGAACAATGAAGTCTGAGTCATTTTTAGACAATTGGTGGACATTTTGCAAATTAAGCATTTACTTTATGATTGTTAGATTTTATTCACAAGTCCTGTAATTTTGTGTTAAATACATTCGTTTGTTCCCACTGATGTTCTGTTCACTACAGTATGATTATATAAGTATCAATGTATCAACTATGTACTGTTTACAAGGGTTTTCCTAAAACAAAATCGAATTCCAATGATTAACATAGATAATTCTAAATACATGTAGTTGCACTTATAACAACAAATACAACTATAATAAACCATAAAATATACAATAAATTGGTATAACTGAGTACTTTAAAGATTATATGAGTTAACATTAATCTATAGAATATAAAATGTAAGGATTTGTTGATTGAATTATAAAGTAACAAAAAGAAGAATAAGTTTCCCTTGAAACATAGCGTTACAATAATCTATTAAAATATCCAAACTAAATCTTATTTTATGATAGACACAACAGAATAGTCATTTAAATAGCGATATTACGCCGATAGTAGACTTTCGAAATTAAATGGAGTTTTGTTTTTAAATCGGTATGTAAATAACCATGATTTTATGTAGGTAATCTTTTTTGTTAGTGAAGCTTGAAGATCAATGTAAGTTGAAAATTTAACACACAATTTATTATGCTTATGATAGATTTTTTATGTAAACAGGAAGAATACTACTGCCTTATTTATTTCATATATCATTACTCTGTTATATAAATACTACAGATAATGCATATGATTGTTTTCTACTCAAATACTCATTTTCAAACTCCTTATTGTAAATTTATTTATTTGTCGAGAATGTGTAGAATTAGCAGATACTGGCTTCAAGATATAAATCTCGGAGTTTCAATGAGAAACCATGATCAATAGAAATCAATCTGTGTTGAGTGTGATGCAGTTGCCCGTCGAATACAATGGAAGATGGTTGCGCAATATCATATATTGTGTGAGGTTAGACATTAACACCGTTGGATGCTGACTCAATGGTTCAGAGTTTAAGCGTTGTTAATAAATGTATGTTGGTTTCATCAACAACCAAACAGATATTCAATGATACCTGTTTTTCAACAGTTATTTAATCCGAGTTGGTCCGTGATTTCAAATCACAAAATCCAACAACCTTCTCACCACTCCATATTAATGAATTTTATCATTGGCTACGGCTACCCAATAAGCATCCGACTATTTAAATTATAATATAATTTTAAGTTTTCCGATTTCCATATCAACAGTATGAGAAAAATTTTAAAAAGTGACAAAATAACACAAGTGCATAAAATTCTAAATTTCACAATATTCGGAATTACCTACAAAATGCATAAAAATTTCAATAGAGCAAATCTAAACTACAATTGTATGGTCCAATTAATGGTGCATATACCCAACTGATGAAAGCATCTGGAAATAACTCAGTCAGTGTATCAACACTGAATAGTAAAGGAAGTATTATCATAACGTCGTAAAGCAATATATACCATCGATATTCGCCATGCCAATTAGATGATGGATATAGGTTGAATTGAGGTTTATTTTTACCTAAAAATGTTGGAAGATGTTGGAAGTTCTTCTACAAAACTGTCCACATAGATTCAGAGACTTGATTTCTATGTGACACCATCCTAGAAATCACTGTTCATTTAGATCAATAAATAAATATATTATCATTTCCGTTGTCTTAGCTGTTGTTTAAATGTGGGATATTTAAGTTTGATCATCGAATATTCTCAAATTCTAAGATATATTCAATGTGACAAATGAATACTTTGAAGCATTTTTGAATAATAAGGTTAAGAAATCTGATAAAAATTAATGATTATTTCATGTTTCTGAAACCAGTTTCTATTTACTGAATAGTTCTAGCACACAGACATATAAACACACAACTATGAACAAAGAACTGTTCTATTCAATAAACTGTCTTCATGTTCTACAATCATGTGTCCAAATTGAAATATTGTAAACATGATCAAGTGTGAGGTCAATACATATATTCAAATGATAACATGTGAATTCGGGATTAATAGTAAAATAAAATTATTGATGCTTAGTTGAATTGTAAACTGTGTTAACTTTGATAACTTTATATTGTAAATGAAATTGTGAGAATAATGATCAGACATAATATGGGCAACATGGGTTGATAAAGAGAGAAGTGTAATTACAAATCAGAATACGTGTCTAGTCAAAAATACGTAATATGTAGTATAATATGGTATGTAGTATGATATCCAGCTCAGGCAATGGGAGATCGTCGCTCTGGATCATGGATGGATTGAAGTTAAATATTAAGACTGTTGCATGTTGACTAGAGATTGAGTATTTGCGCGCGAGATCGAAGGTCCTGAGTTTGGATTCCACGTGCGGAATCATGGACGCACACTTCTGAGGAGTCCCATGCTAGGACAAAGCAGCCATCCAGTTCTCTCAGGTTTTCAATGGCAGTTTAACTTAGATCGATTTCAAATGTCAAAATACTTTAATGTAAACAAATCCCCATACTGTTCATATGAATTATGAAGCAATTAGTTAGTATGGGTGGGTACCAAATAAATTTCTCACATCGTTTGCAAGCGTCATTATAGTAATATGTAGGATTTAGTTTAAGCTATTAAAAGGCAAAGAGGAAGTCTGTTTTCATATTAGTCACATTCTGTCACCAAATTATCATAATGATTGTTAACTTATTAAGCCAGAAGTTGATCAAGGCAAAATGATTGATTAAACATATTTCATATGGACACATAATTCCCGCATTTCGATCTATCTTGTCGACCTCGATCTTGATTGATTATTGTTAATCTTTAGCCTCGCATTGTCTACTTCTATATTTTAATTGTATATCCCTTTTATTTGATTCTTGATCCTATATATTCATCTATGAACAATAAAAGCTCCTCGAATAAACTATCCAGTTCAGAGAATAAAATAAAAATTCATTCCAACTAGAAGTACAGTTATTACATTAAATAAATTACATTGAAAAAAGATTAAATTAACTAAATAACTGAAGACAAATGATGCATATGACATTTTGTTTGTTTGGTTTTGTTTTCTAAAAAAAGAAATTAAAACAGACAAGAAAGATAATAAAACCAAGTCAATTTGATGGGAAAATAAATGTGAATAGAAAGAATTTCAATTATCTGGACACTTATATACAAAAGAAAGAGAGAGATTATTGCATCATTTTGGATAGAAGAAATTGAATAGTTTCTATGGTCATCTACCTCCTTTTCTTTATCTCTAGAAACGTTCCTTTAACTTTTATAGATTAACTAATTTTCTCTCTGAAATTCCTTTTTTTTAATTTTTTCTCATGATTATCATTATCTCTGTAATTAAACTCCTTTCTAGGAAGAAAACTATTAAAAGAAATTATATAATGCAAATTATCTTATAGACATAATGCATTTACTTCCACACTAAGAAGAAAGCTTTGTTCATACATTTCATTATCATCATTGTTTGTAGTTGGGACATGTTATAAAATGATAGAGAAATATAAAAAGAAAAAAATATATGAAGTAAATTGTTAGGATTAAAATAAACCAAGGGATATTTCGATGATTAATACATCACATATTATTGTTGAGTATAGAAGCTGAAAGAAACAATAATGGTCATTTGCTTTAATAATGAATTATGATTTCTAATACTAAAGTAAGTAATAATACAAGAATATTTGGAATGTAACTCTCTCCCTATAAACATATGACTATTTCTGTATTGATATACTATAATCCTGAAGTGGTCAAACTTAATAATCGTTCTACTGATTTTTGAGGTATTATAAACCGTGATCTTGGTGATTAAAGTAATCCAAGCATGGATAAAAGCTTTACTTTCCTAATGCTAGGAAGATATCTGCTTATTTATTAAACATAGAGAATACCGAATAACTGTATCCAGTTTCATCTGATTATCATATAACTTTACCGTTATCATCAAAATAATGTTTTGATGTCTTTTTTTACATTACATAATTTTGATATGAAGCATGATAAGGAAACGGTATTTGAGATAAGAAAGTGATGTCGAAATAAGTATACTGCTTACGGAAGCAAGAAATGTACGCTAGAATATAAAATTGGAAATTCTGTAGGATTTTATAGTCATATTACCATTTGACTTAAAATTTAATAACATAACTAGCCGAATAAGTCACATTACAGTTTCCGTATTCATTTCTTCAATAGATTTATACATTCACACATACAGAGTTTTCATTTACCACGAAAACATATTTATTTCTGAGAAATTTGGTGAATTAACAATGTTTGCATGATGTATAGTAACAGATGATATTCTTAGGTAGTCAAAATCATAAATGATATTTAGGAAAATATTTCATTGCATGTACTAAAGATAATTGCTGATAGTCACAATAATAAAATTTTCAAGTCAAATACTGTCATGCTATTCATTTTTGACGACAGTAATCGAAGTATTTTTATTTCTACCAATAGCTAAATGGTATTTTAAGATTTATCAATTTGATCATTTTTATAAGAATAATTTCACTGATCGAGATCATGAGTAAATTGAAGCTAGACCACCATGAAAAACCTGGAAGCACTGGATGGCCATTTTGTTCTAGTATGGGACTTTTCAGTAGTGCGTATCCACGATCCCACACCCCGCGAGATTCGAACCCAGGACCTATAAGTATTTTTTGGTTAAAGTTCTCAAAACGTTTGATAGTCTTCACCAGAAAACAGTGAATGAACTTGAAAATATTCAACACAATTATAACTGACATACATTCATCAGTTGAAATGACTGTATTTTTATTATTGCAAAAAAATTCAAGTTCGCTAGATCACCTGCAGTGCGAAAAAATAAATTTATTCTTTAAAACTAAATATAATTAGTTCACATTCCATTTGGCTAGAAGTAAAATTTTTAATGTTTACTGATGTTGGTTAAGTGCATAAAGTAGTGGCAGTTTAACAGTCAGGTTGATCTTAACAGACGAGTAGTATTGTTGACGGTTATCCAAAATAAAACATTTTTTGTACTGACGTTAGATAATTGGAAGTAATTAGCATAAAGCAATATATATATTTTAGTCCTACAGAAAGTCATTATCAACATAATCGTAAAGTCTGAACTATGTTACTGGGTGACAAGTCACATACCATACATAGAAACAACACCCTTTTATTTGCAGATACTTCTTGGTGTAAAGCACTTATGTGT